TGAATATTTTTAGTTTAAATCGAAATACTTTTATTTTGATTTAAATTAGTCTATTTTTATATCTACTTATATAATTGCCTTATTCTGTCTGTGTAAAGTTCACTGTCTGAAGTTCACGTCTATACAGACCACCCTGTATATAGCTGCCATTCTAGATAACCCTGTTATCAGCTGTGTGATACATACACCTGTCTATAGCGGCCACTCTAGACAACCCTGTTATCAGCTGTGTGATACATCCACCTGTCTATACAGACCACCCTGTCTATAGCGGTCACTTTCGGCAACCCTGTTAACATCAGTGTGTTACATTCACCTGTCTATACAGACCACCCTGTCTATAGCGGTCACTTTAGGCAACCCTGTTATCAGCAGTGTGATACATACACCTGTCTATACAGACCACCCTGTCTATAGCGACCACTCTAGACTACCCTGTTATCAGCTGTGTGATACATCCACCTGTCTATACAGACCACCCTGTCTATAGCGGCCACTCTAGGCAACCCTGTTATCAGCTGTGTGATACATCCACCTGTCTATACAGACCACCCTGTCTATAGCGGCCACTCTAGGCAACCCTGTTATCAGCTGTGTGATACATCCACCTGTCTATACAGACCACCCTGTTAATAGCGGCCATTCTAGATAACCATGTTATCAGCTGTGTGATACATACACCTGTCTATAGCGGCCACTCTAGACAACCCTGTTATCAGCTGTGTGATACATCCACCTGTCTATACAGACCACCCTGTCTATAGCGGTCGCTTTAGGCAACCCTGTTATCATCAGTGTGTTACATTCACCTGTCTATACAGACCACCCTGTCAATAGCGGTCACTTTATAGACTGGTGAGCCTATAGCCTACTATTGAATTGAATTAAAACGTTTTAAAATATATACGCACTCGGGTAAAACCCGGGCGTTGCCCGGGCCATTCGTCTAGTCTACTTATATAATTGCCTTATTCTGTCTGTGTGAAGTTCACTGTGTGAAGTTCACGGATAGATTTTGGTCACGTGTCAAATTATGGTAAGTAAAAATTAAAAAAAGATGCCGAAACCCGGGATCGAACCAGGGACCTTCAGATCTTCAGTCTAACACTCTCCCAACTGAGCTATTTCGGCTTATTTTAGTTATTTCTATAGAAGCTTCTATCTTTATAATCTACTTATATAATTGCCTTATTCTGTCTGTGTGAAGTTCACTGTGTGAAGTTCACGGATAGATTTTGGTCAGAATGGATGAAATAAAAAAAGTGTCAAGGCAGATGCCATGACCACTAGGCTACCCTGGACATATTTTTCCGTTCATAAAGTTAATATATGAATATTATTTTAATTAAAACATTTTAAAAACACACAGTTTGGAACGGGACGTTTCACAAGAGTGACATCCATGGCGCCAATTCACAATTGTAACGAATAGTATTTGAATTAAAACGTTTTTAAAATATATACGCGCTCGGGTAAAACCCGGGCGTTGCCCGGACCATTCGTCTAGTATTTTTATATCCGTTTTAATCAAGCATTAAAAATGAAGCCTTTTAGATTTTCACAAGTAGAGTTAACCTTTGTTTAATATGACGATAAAATATTCTTATATTTCCGTTAAAACTGCTTCCCATCTTTAATTTCAGCTGTTTTCATAATTCTTGAATGAAAACATCGCATAAGAGTAAGCAATATGGTTAGTTAGTGTGTCAGTTAATATGATATCATTCTATCTTTCTCTTTCCCGCGGTGTGCACCACAAATGACGACATTATATATATATATATATGTTATATTAAAATACTTTATTTAAAATTAGGTTATATTAAAATATTATTTTATTTAAAATTTTATATATCATATATTCAAATATTTTGTTAAATCGACCGCCAGAGGTCACGCTTTGCATATATAAACTCGTTGTTGTTGTATCCGCTGGCCGGCTCAACCTTTTGTACATTATGTAAATAAGTATTTCATTTTATTCTTACGCCTTAAGCCAGGCAGTACTTTTATCAAACCATGTATTTCATATATTCCTTTAGGGCAATTAAAGCTATTTTTGATAACTAATTTTATTATAATCTCTTCCACGACTGCATACCAAAAGC